TCTACGACGACAAAGGGCTCGCTGCTATGATCCACTCCCATGTGGATGATTTCCTCATCGCCCAGCGCGGAAGCTCCAGCGAGTGGAAGCGAGTCATTAGCTCCTTGCAGAAAAGGCTGCACCTCAAGAAGGTAGAGGGCATCATCAAGTACTGCGGCCGGACAATCAACAAGACCAACGAGGAGTTCCGCATTACCCAGGCGACGGCCGCCGCCCAAGTGGATTTCATCGAACTCAACGCCCAACGTGGACGATCACCAGAGGATCGTCTTACCACCTCGGAGGTCTCAGGATATCGCCACACACTCGGCCAACTGCTTTGGCTCGCAGTACAGACGCGAGTGGACATCGCTTGCCCGGTGAGCCTTGCGGCTCGTCGCACCAACACCGCCACCGTGGCCGACGCCAAGACGCTGAACAAACCGTCGCTTACGTGCACGGGTCCGCCTATTTCGCCATAGTCATCAAGCGCAACATCATCGACCTGCGCACTTGCACCATCGTCTGTTTCAGCGACGCGGCCTTCGCCAATGTGGACGGGGTGAAGAGCCAGTGGGGCATGGCGATCGGGCTAACCCACAAGCCACGGGACGTCGTGGCTGGACGATATGATTTGTGCTTGCCTGTGGCCTGGCATTCGGGCACGGTCAAGCGATCCGTGAAGTCTACGCTGGCCGCCGAGGGCTACGCCACTCTGGAGGGCGCCGAATCGAGCACGTGGTTCGGTCAGCTACTTACGGAGGCCTACAACCCGAAGAAGACGCTCAAGCAGATCGATGACCTCAGCACCAAACGATCCGGGGAGATCTACAGCGACAGCAACGGTTGGTGACGCACATCAAGTCTGACGTGGGTCAATCCACGGACAAGCGGTTCCGCATCGTGGCATCAATGATTAAGGAGACGGTGCACCCCAACAGCCAGCTGAAGCTCTCGTGGATACCTACGTGGAGCATGGTCGCCGACGCGCTCACCAAGACCATGGAGACCGGAGTGCTCCTCGCTTTCTTCGGGGCCAAGAAGTACAATTTCGGCACTAGGCAACCGCGCGCCGCCATGCTTGCCTCAGTACTGATGACATGTCTCGGACGCGTGAAGGCACAGCATCCCCCACAGGAATGGCAAGTGCCGATGTCACATTGGATCTACTACATGACATTAATTGCGATGCTTAGTGGGATCATGATTGGATTTACATTATTCGCAGCGCTGTGGTTTGTGGTGCGAAAGGAGATATTTGGGCCAGGCGACCCCAATCCCATCCAGATCGGGACCATCAACAACACCAGCAGTGGGTCCAAGGCTGATCACTCCGGGCACGCGGACACCCCCTTGCCCGGAATATATCCAGGATGGGATGGACGATACCTCGGACGTCGTAACAATGTACCGACTACCATTCCCGAAGACGTCGACGGAGATGTCTACATGGAGCCGCCGATGATTGCCGTCGCAGCCCAGAGTTCATCATCAGCAAGCGGATCGGCAGCGCCAGCCGCACCGCCCCCATCACCGGACAGCTTCGCGCAGGGAGCCAGCTCGTCGCCATCATCCCCGATGACGGTTACCAGTTCCTCGTCAGCCAGCGTGGTTTCTTGGAACGGATCGACGCCAACGGTTCCGCCAGTAGAAATGAACGCATGTGTGGCCGCCGAGCACAACATACGCGCGGGACACAACGTACACAGTGTCTACATCACCTGCCGGACGTGCAGGAAGCACGCTACATGGCTACGCAGGAATTATGTGACCCATGAGCCAGATTTCTCGAGGATGCACAATAGTCTGCGCTGGGATTTACAGAACAGATGGAGGCAGCTACAAGGACTGCCCGGCAAGGCGAAAGCTCAAAAGAAGATTTCGTGAGCACGCCATCGTTTTATATTTGGCGCCACATCCTGTGGCAGATTATGTAAGTCCGCATTGCTCTGTTAGTTCGTTTTATATTTGGCGCCACATCCTGTGGCAGATTACGTCAGTCCGCACCGCTTTGTCAGTTCGTTTCCTTTACACCTGGAGCCACATCGTGTGGCAGATTGCGCAAATCCGAATTGTCTTGCCAGCTTGTTTTTTTTACATTTGGCGCCACACCCTGTGGCATACTACGCTAGTCCGCATTGTTCGAAGCTTCATTCAGTGTGCACAGATTTCCTTTTATGTGGTGACGACCACACTATTGAGATTTTATCTTGATAAGACAGCGCTATTTGAGTTTTGTCGCATAGCGATCGGACTCGCGCCGCTGTTCGTTTGAGAATTCATGTCTTTCTTGCCGGTGCGTGTAGCAGCACCCGTTAAATGCCCCGGGGCAGCCGGATAGTATGCCGACAGGGCCGTTTGCCTATGTTTGTTTTGAGAGCGCTCTGATTAATGAAGTGAGCTGCGATCAATGATCGTCGCTCGACGGCGCCGCGAGCGTCAATCAGGAGGAGTGTGATTCCCGCTCACTCCCCGTGCCCTTCCTGCATCCCCGCTCTATCCCTCACGCCCGCTCGTGCCGCTGCCGTTTTGTTTCGAACTAGGGCCCTTGGCCTTAGAGCTACGCAGAGAGTTTCGCCGCGCGATTCCTCGACAAAAGATATCAGCGATATCCATATCACACCTGCGGGGCTGGGGATGCCTCGGTCGAGAGTGCGGTGAGCAGGGAGGAGGCAGGATAGGGGTAGAAGAAAGGGAGGAGGAAACAGGAATAATTGACGATGGAGACGTGGACATGCCAAACCTTCGTTTGAGGGTATCCATGGCGAGGATGCCTCCTGGAAGCGGCATGGAGAATGAGAAGATACCTTTGGCATGGCGGAGGAAGCAGAGAAGAGCAGGGACGAGGATGAGAAGGCGAAGGGCCAGTGCAGCCTCAACACTCATCAGTCAATGGTACTGCAATACCCCCCCCATGCAAGGGTTCATGCTCACTGAGGGAAGTGCCCCGTTGGGAGACGACCATTCGAGAGCCCGGAAGTGCGCCAGAACGCCATTCCTGGGACTTCGGTGCCGCGAATCACATGTTCGTTTTACCGTTGCGCCTTGACGAGCCTGAGTCGTGCCAGGACGCTGGCCCTAGGATATCACCGCCGCACTATTGAGTACGTTAGCTATCTGCATTTTCCGAACCCCCTGCAATATCTAAAACGAGTGTGCGCGGCGCTGTGGCGAGAGCCACAGTTTGACAAGGATCCTGCAGATGTTTAGGACGAGTGCGCGCGGCGCTAAGGCGAGAGCCACAGTTTGAAAAGGAACTGCCCTCCATCCGTGAAGCCCTTCAGCTTTTCAAGTCGAGTGTGCGCGGCCTTTCTAAGCGAGGGCCACCGTCTAAAAACCATCCGCCCTCTATGTGTGAAACTCTTGCGAATTTTGGCGCTCAGGCGAGGGCAGCATGTGGAAATCAGACCGCCCCTTTTCCACCCGTGAAACCCCGGCAATGAATGCCCGCAGCACCACATGATGAAAACGGCCCGCCATGCATCCGTGTAGCTCTTGCAAGTTCTCAGCGATGTGATCAGACATGGTGAAGAAGTCTGAGGCGAAACGCCCTGCCAGCCCTACCAACACGCCGCGGGGTGCGACAGGGAGGAGCCATTATAGCTGATGGAGGAGAACAGTGACGTGGGGGACGGGGAGGAGGGGGAGGAGAAGGTGGAGGAGGAATGCGAGGAAGAGGAGGCGGAGGAGCAACGCGAGGGAGGGGGGGGGGGGAGGAGGAGGAGGGGAAGGAGGTGGAGGAGAAGGAGGAGGAGGAGGAGCAGGAGGAGGAGGAGGAGGAGGAGGAGGAAGAAGAAGAAGCGGAGCAGCAGGAGGAAAAAGAGGAACACTGCGAAGAGGAGGGGGAAGAGGACGCGGACCACGAGGAGGAGTATGAGGAATTCACGGAGGAGCGCGGCGAGCAGGAGGAGAAGCAGGAGGAGGAACATGGAAAGGAACAACAATTATGAGAAGGGTGGGATTGTGGTCGGGGAGGAGGAGAGGGAGGAGGGGGAGGAGCAGGAGGAGGAGGAGGCGGAGGAGGGAGGAGGAGGAGGAGGAGGAGGAGGAGGACGAGGACGAGGACGAGGACGAGGACGAGGACGGAGACGAGGATGAGGAGGAGGATGAGGAGGAGGAGGATGAGGAGGAGGAGGCGGGTAACGTCGAGGAGGAGTAGCACCAGTAGGATGAGGAGGATTCGCATGAGGAGCAGCGCGAATGAGGAGTGATATGGGGAGGCACAGAAGGAGGAGCAGAAGGAGGAGGAGGAGGAGGAGGAGGAGGAGGAGGAGGAGGGGGAGGAGGACCCGAATAATCAGGATGCGGAGGATGTCGAGAAGGAGGCGGAACGGGAGGAAGAGAAGAGGGGGATTATGAGAAGGAGGCGTAGTGGAAGGGGGAAGGGCGAGGGCAAGAAGAATAATGACGTGGATGCGGAGGAGGGGGAGGACGACGAAGATGACGAAGCGCTCGACGTCGACGCCGAAGGCGCAGGCTGATGAGGAGCAGGAGGACGCGCGAACACTATGAGAAACCACCTTGGCTCCAACAAGTGATCCTTCAGGGTAGGGGTTCTGGCTAAAGTTGTCCTCAAGACGCTCAGGGGGGCTTGGTGGCTGTCAGTGCGGTGCGCGATCTCTGCCCCCTATAAGGCATTAGAGCGCCTTGACACGCGTCGAGAAACACTTGGCTACGAATATCGTGAATGACCCAAGCCCCAGCCAGGGCCAAAATACGAACACACATCGTGAGCAGCACCTGGACAACATGAGGGGATGCATTCAGAGGAAATCTAGGCTGAGCCTACGCCCCACAGTTACTCGCTTCGGGATGGCCGGCTACCATCGGACGTGCTGGCGCCAGATGCAGGCAACACATTCGTACACATCGGAGCACTGCGAGCTGAAATGGAGGGAGGAACGATGAAGAGGATGAGGAGGAAGCGGACGAGGGAGGAATGGAGGGAGGAAAGAGCGGGCGAGACGTGGAAGAGGGAAAGGGGGGATGAGTGGAGGCACCAAGCTTGGGGCCCCGGGCAGGACGAGCGACGCCGACAGGAAGCTGCGGAAGATCGACTGGAAGAAGGTGCCTGGACATTCCCAGCGCGCGTGCCAGAGATGCCTCCTGCCCCCTCCTGTTCCCCCCAATCCCCCTCCTCGGGGGAGCGGGAGGGGGAGAGGTATTTCCGAGTACAGTCGGGGCCCTGAAGAAGGAACCCTTTTCGTTGGGGAGGGGCTCCGCGTTCCTTAAGTGTTTCGCAGCTTGCCTCAGGCTTCCCTTATGTCTTCGGCAGGAAATCGAGGGTGAACTTATGGAAAGAAGGGGCCTCGTTCCTTATTTTAGGGTTCCTTAGGTCAACGCCCCGACTGTGCGGTCAGGAGCGTTTGCTCGGCGCATCGCGGCGCCAGTCCTTGCCCACCGCGCGTCGGCGCGAGGCGAGCGAGCACGCCCCCGTCTCCGAGCATCAGCTCGTCGAGCTTCTGCCGGCCTGCCCGTCCCACGAAACCAAGCCGCACGCCAGCAGCCATCCGCTTGCAGGCCATAAGCGTGTCGCAGGGGTCGCCGCCGCGACACGCTGAGCAAAAGTTCCTCCCTTCCTCTCCGCCTCCTCCTCCTCCTCCTCCTCCTCCTCCTCCTCCTCCTCCTCCCTCCTCCTCCTCCTCCTCCTCCTCCTCTGCCGGTTTGGCTGCCCCGACTGCCCTGATTCGTTCCTCCACTACTCTCTTGCCCCCGCCTGCTACACCTCATCGCGCTGCCCCGTCTGCATATCCCTACCGCTCCTCCGTTCCTTTGGCTTGGCCTGGGATCCGAGGAGGAATACCAAGACACCGATCTCACGGTGGCCCTTGCACATGACTTAGTGAGTCTCGCTTACAGTATATTCCATAAACTTCGTGCCGAGCTAGCTGACACCCCGCAGCCGCTCGGCAGCTATGCGCAACACCTTTCAATCCGCCATGCGGCGCTCACGAGGCAGTAACCCAGGGCTCGCCTATGGACGTGCGCTCCTCCTCCTCCTCCTCCTCCTCCTCCTCCTCCTCCTCCTCCTCCCGTATCCGTCCCTCTCCACTTCCTCCCCCTTGTCTGTCGCCTCGTCCCCGTCGTGATGTGAGATGGACCGCGTCGGTGTGCGTGCGCCTGTGTGTGTGTGTGTGTGCGTGTGTGCATGCGTTTGTGTGTGAGTGTGTGTGTGTGTGTGTGCGCCTGCATCTGTGATTCATCGCCTATGAAAGTCTTTCGCTGGGACTCGATCATCTGCTGACGCTCCCGCACAAGGTTGTCCATTCGACTTGAGCCTGTCCCGCCTTAGTCCTTTTTGGACCGCCCATTGCACCCCATCGGCAGGAAAGCGACGTGTGTGTATGTTTGTGTGTGAGTGTGTTTGCGCGCGTGTATGTGTCGGCTCCCAGCGCTTCCGAGTTTCCCACACGGCTCCACAAAGAAGCTAGTCTTTTTGAGCGCAATGTAGGATGACGATTAATAAATGACCGGGGGTCGTGTTGCGTCGGCGGCGCCCCGGAGGATGATTAGAAAAAACCAGCCGCGGGCTGGGAAACTATTTTTCAAGTCGTTCACCCCTTGCCGTCCGTCCTGGGAAACGATTTTATTGCAAAACTTCCGTTCGATGTGGATTGTGCATTTGACGTAGCATTTCAATCCAACGTCAAATGAGCATTAGAGATAATGTCTGAGGCCGACGTGGAACGAATACTTGACATAAAAGCTTGAAGCCGACGTAGAATTGGTATTTGACGTAAATTTGGAAGTCGACGTCGAATGAATATTGAACGTAAACTTTGACGGCGACGTGAAATGAGTAGTCGACGCAATATTAAAAGCCGACGTGTTATATACGTGTGTTTAATCCTCCGCCTTCCGTTGAACAATCATATAGAAATCAAAGAAACGATTTTTCGATCGTTCCCCCTAGTTTTTTATTAATCGTCATCCTGCATTAGCTCGCCATTGTCTTTAGCCGCTGGCTGGCCGCTTCAGCGCGTGGGAGCAAGAAATGTGTGTGTGAGAGAGAGAGAGCGTGTAGCCTTCCCCGAAGCGCCAGGACTCACCGTAGAAGTTCGGGACGTCCCAGATGGCTTCCAGACTGCTCCAGAACGGCCCGAGATAGCCTCAACATTGCTCCGACAGGCCCCCAGAATGCAGGCGGCTCGAAGAGTCCCGCAAGAGTGCCCAAAGACTGCCGAAGAGCCCTCCAAAAGGGCCCCTAGAACCCAAGATGGCTTCAAGACGGCCTCCATAGCCATTTTGGCTCAAGTAATTTGAGCTCCTGCTTCAGCGGCCTCCCCCTCGGTGCCCTGGCGATCACCAGAAGCCGTGCCGCCCGCCCGCCGGTGCCGCCTCCCTAGCATGCTGTGCGCGCCTTTCGTCGCCAAGGCCCCCCCGAGTCGTGGGGCCTTCCCTCCAGAACGCCAGGCGCCGCTGGCGGTCCCAGGAACCAAGTGCAGCCAGGTGGGTTTGATGTCCGACCCCAACCCTCTGTTCCTCAAGACGAAGCTCTGCAAGTTCTTCGCGGTCGGCGCCTGCTCGAAGGGCTCCGGGTGCAAGTTCGCCCACGGCGCGGGCGAGCTCTCGGAGCTGCCGGACTTCACGAAGACGCAGCTCTGCTCCTCCTTTCTGTTCTTCCGCGCCTGCACGGCTCCAGGCTCAGAGCCCCGAATCATCAGGGGTAACTCGGGTCAGGGATAACTCGGGTTCGTTTTTCGGGAATCCAAGCCCGAGTTACCCCGGACCCGAGTTACCCCAGATAACTCGGGCGTCCAGAGCCCCGAATCATCAGGGGTAACTCGGGTCAGGGCTAACTCGGGTTCCTTTTTCGGGAACCGAAACCCGAGTTACCCCGGACCCGAGTTACCCCGGATTACTCGGGCGCCCAACAGGCTGCGCCTTCGCGCACAGCCCGCGCGAGCTCAGGCCGCGCGCCGCTGGGCGGACGGAGGTGCTCCCCGCCGGGGCGGAGCCGGGCGCGCCGCGCCCGAGCAAGAAGCCCCTGCGGAGGGACGGTCGGCGCGCTCGGCGGAGCGCCGGGCAGGCGGCGCAGGGCGAGCAGGAGCCGTGCGTTCCGCAGAAGGAGGCCCAGACCCCCTCGAGTTATGAAAAATTCACGACGGGAGGTTTTTCATTATTTTCGGCCTCCGGGGGCCCTCACCGGGCCTCGGGAGCGTCAAAAAACGACTCAGGACGAAAAACCGGTCCCGGGGAATGGGTCGAGACCTCGGGGGGTCGACGTCATGAAAAAATCATGACGTCGGGGGTCTGGGGGAGGTCGTGCTCCAGGCGCTGCCGCTGCTCCTGGCGGACGTGCTGCGGAGCGGGTGCGGGGACTCGTGGGCCGACCAGAGCGAGGACCTCGAGTCGCCGACGTGCCAGCGGAGCCCGTGGAGCCGCCAGACCACCGCGGGCCTCGCACACTCGTCGGTGCCGGACGGCCAGGGATCCGAGACTGTGGAGCTGGCGTCGGGCGACGACGTCGATGTGGACACCGGCCCACCACGCGCGCACACCCTGGAAGTCAGGAACACGTTCCTCACAATTGTCGACGATGACGAGGCTCGCACCCCGCTTCGCCGGATTCGGTCTGCACCAGCGCTGTCCTGCTGCCGCCCCTGAGCGCGTCCGCTCGAGGTGGCACTCCCAGATCGCCAGGCATCATATTTCAGGCTTGGAAATATTATCATCCTTCGTTGCCATTCGACAGTCGTGCGCGCAGGTTACGTATTTTTCAATGGGTTGTTTCAGTTCGCCCTGCGTCCTGAGCAGCAAGTCAGGCTTCACCAGTCTGAGTAATATTTATGAAGGGAGTGTGCTCCCCAGCCGTCAGCACTTGCCTCTTTAAGGCTCTCGCATACGGCTTCTGAGTGTTGTGTGGACCTTCGGAGTCGTGGTCACCACGACACCTGGCTGCTTCCGTCTCGCGGGGCAGAGGCTCGGCGCGCTCCTCGATCTGTCCAGAGGTCCTGCCTCAAGTGTGCGCAAGCTGATGGGCATTTTCTTGACCACCACCACCATGAGTTGGAGAGGGGGAGGAGAAGAGGAGGAGGAGGAGGAGGAGGAGGAGGAGGAGGAGAAGGAGGAGGAGGCGCAGGAGGAGGACCCCCTCCCCCTCCAACTTATGGTGGTGGTGGTGGAAAGCAGGCCCATCACACACTCTGTCCGAATGTCATTTGGACCACCGGCGTCTCACAACGCCAGCGTGAACGCGGGGCGCGACGGTCCGAGCCCGCCCAGTGTTAACTCGGAGCGCCTCGGAGCGCGCATCCGCAGCAGGCCATGCCCCTTCCGCCCCCCTCGCCCCGTTTTCGTCGTCGTCGTCGTCGTCGTCGTCGTCGTCGTCGTCGTCGTCTCCTTCCTCATCCTCCTTCCTCCCTCCTCCCTCCTCTCCCTCGGCCTCCCCATCCCCGGAACCGCCTGCCGCGCCTGAAGGCCAGAGGCGCAGTTCCATCTCGAGCGCACGATCGCTGAGGCACCGCAATCGCACGGCTCCCGAAGGAGGGTCTCCACAGCCATGCGATTGCACAGCTTGCCTCCGACCTCTGTCCCTTCGCTCGGCGGCGACCGCCAGCGGCGCGGGGTTGGCCGGGAGGACAGGGAGGGAGGGAGGGATGGAGGGAGGGAGGGCGGGAGGGCGGGAGGGGAGGGAGGGAGGAGGGGGGAGGGGGGGGGGGGGGAAGGAGGGGGGAGGGGGGGGGGAGGGAGGGAGGGGAGGGGAGGGAGGGAGGGAGTGAGGGAGAGAGGGGCCTCGGAGCAGCCTCCCGGTCTTGCTTGCCCAGGACCTCCAGGGCGGCGCGGGCGCGGCAGGGGCCCCGCCGCGCCTGCAGGGACGGCGGGGCGCGGGGCAGCGGCTGCCCCATGCTCGCTGCCGACGCGGTGGCGGCCAGGGGCGGCACTCCACCCGGGCACCGGCGGCCGTGTCCCCGGGCCCCCTCCCCCGAAGAAGGCGAGCGGTGCCCCCGGGCCCCCTGCCCTTTTCGGGCGGCGGCGGCCGAGCGAGCGGAACCCCCGGCTCGCGCGGCCAGCGGTCGCCGCCTCCCGCGTTTCACGGTGGGGTACCTCTTTCTCTCGTGACCCCACACTCTCGGCGTGCAGCATCTGCGGCACGGTCCGGAAGGGCGTGCCCCGATGGAGCGGGTGTCTGCGCGCTGCCCGGGCAAACTGCGGCGTGCAGCGCCGGAGGCACAGCAGGTCTGTCGGGCGCCACCCGCGCAGCTCCCACAGGCGCGGAGGAGGAGGGGGAGGAGGATGAGGAGGAGGGGGAGGAGGAGGAGGAGGAGGAGGAGGATGAGGAGGAGGAGGAGGAGGAGGAGGAGGAGGAGGAGCAGCAGGAGGAGGGCCCCCTCCCCCTCCAACTTATGGTGGTGGTGGTGGAAAGCAGGCCGAGGAAGAGGAGGAGGCGCAGGAGGAGGACCCCCTCCCCCTCCAACTTATGGTGGTGGTGGTGGAAAGCAGGCCCATCACACACTCTGTCCGAATGTCATTTGGACCACCGGCGTCTCACAACGCCAGCGTGAACGCGGGGCGCGACGGTCCGAGCCCGCCCAGTGTTAACTCGGAGCGCCTCGGAGCGCGCATCCGCAGCAGGCCATGCCCCTTCCGCCCCCCTCGCCCCGTTTTCGTCGTCGTCGTCGTCGTCGTCGTCGTCGTCGTCGTCGTCGTCTCCTTCCTCATCCTCCTTCCTCCCTCCTCCCTCCTCTCCCTCGGCCTCCCCATCCCCGGAACCGCCTGCCGCGCCTGAAGGCCAGAGGCGCAGTTCCATCTCGAGCGCACGATCGCTGAGGCACCGCAATCGCACGGCTCCCGAAGGAGGGTCTCCACAGCCATGCGATTGCACAGCTTGCCTCCGACCTCTGTCCCTTCGCTCGGCGGCGACCGCCAGCGGCGCGGGGTTGGCCGGGAGGACAGGGAGGGAGGGAGGGATGGAGGGAGGGAGGGCGGGAGGGCGGGAGGGAGGGAGGGAGGGAGGGGGGAGGGGGGGGGGGAAGGAGGGGGGAGGGGGGGGGGAGGAGGGAGGGGAGGGGAGGGAGGGAGGGAGTGAGGGAGAGAGGGGCCTCGGAGCAGCCTCCCGGTCTTGCTTGCCCAGGACCTCCAGGGCGGCGCGGGCGCGGCAGGGGCCCCGCCGCGCCTGCAGGGACGGCGGGGCGCGGGGCAGCGGCTGCCCCATGCTCGCTGCCGACGCGGTGGCGGCCAGGGGCGGCACTCCACCCGGGCACCGGCGGCCGTGTCCCCGGGCCCCCTCCCCCGAAGAAGGCGAGCGGTGCCCCCGGGCCCCCTGCCCTTTTCGGGCGGCGGCGGCCGAGCGAGCGGAACCCCCGGCTCGCGCGGCCAGCGGTCGCCGCCTCCCGCGTTTCACGGTGGGGTACCTCTTTCTCTCGTGACCCCACACTCTCGGCGTGCAGCATCTGCGGCACGGTCCGGAAGGGCGTGCCCCGATGGAGCGGGTGTCTGCGCGCTGCCCGGGCAAACTGCGGCGTGCAGCGCCGGAGGCACAGCAGGTCTGTCGGGCGCCACCCGCGCAGCTCCCACAGGCGCGGAGGAGGAGGGGGAGGAGGATGAGGAGGAGGGGGAGGAGGAGGAGGAGGAGGAGGAGGAGGAGGAGGAGGAGCAGCAGGAGGAGCAGCAGGAGGAGGAGGAGGAGCAGCAGGAGGAGGAGGAGGAGGAGGAGGAGCGCCTTTCCGTCGTCGGCGAGGAGGGGGCGGAGCGGGCGGGTGGGCCGGGGTGGAGCGTCCACGATGGGACGCCTCCAGGCTTCGGCATGGCGAGGCGCTTCCGAGGCAGAGCCTCAACCATGCTTGCCCGCTTTCCGGAGGCAGCCCTGTGCCTGTGAGGCTTTTGCTGTACAGGGGCGCGGCGATTCTTCCGTATCCTGGGCCCCCACAGCCTTCATAGATTTGTGGAAGTCGATTCATGGAGAGGAAGCATGCTAGCATGCTGCCAAATTTTCCCATATGTCTAACACATGTTTCGAACATCTGTTCAATATGTAAAAAAACATGTTTAAACTATGTTTAGATTAGAACCTGTTTTACACAGTTTAAACACATGTCTAATTCAATGATAGGATGATTCGAGTGTCCATTGTCATGGCTTCCACAATCATTTATTGTTGTTGGACCAAGCTACTGCACCACATTGGAGATGTCGGTGGAGGGATTCGTCTCTTGTTGGTTCTTAGTCGCACCCACAACAGTGGCGTTGGCCTAGTGCACGCTCCAAGACACAATCTGTCTGAGGCGGAAAGGGTGATGTCACTCCTTTCTACCATCACAGTGATGGGGAATGCCCCGACTCCACCGCTAATTCGTCCATCGCCTTGTATCTTCGCTTTGTATGTGTTTTGTTTGCGATCCTTTTGGGTTCTGCGAGGATTCTCCGCTGAGCCTGGCACGGCCTCTTTGATGAGCCTGGCAACGCTAGCATGGCCTTGGATTATTCGGCTCTGCAGAAGGGGAGGAGGACGGGGAACAAAGGAGAAGGGAGGACGACGGGATCAGGGCACTCAGCCGCGCTCTGTGTTGGGGGCGGGGGGCCGGCGAGCTCTGCGCCCAGAGTTCTGACGGCGCCGCTCTGCCACGACGTGGGTCCACGTCTCCGACCAGTGGCCCAACCACGCCCGCGAAGGCCTGACCCGACATCGGCGCAGTTCGGGTTGCGCTCACACGGCAGTTTCGCAGACTGCCTGGGGCGGAAGGCTGGGGTAGCCCGCATTGGGAGCGAAGACAAAGGTCTTGCCGTTTTGCAGCCGGGCCTTGTGTCGGCACACATGTGGCAAGGGCATTCGGTTTGAAAGCGGTGTAATGGGTCTTAGGGCAGCGGGTGTGTGTGTGGAACCTGAGAGCATAGCTTCACAGCTAGCCGCCTGGTGCGCATCGATGTTTTAATCCTGTTCCGAGCAGGCGCATTCAGTGGCCCCTCTAAAGCAGGCGGCTTTCAAAGGCGTCCTCCGCTTGGCATGCAGACGCCGAGGTGGAGGGGTGGACGGAGCAGCTTTCTCTAGGTGGTTGGAAGGGAGTTCGACCAGGGCCTATGACCAAGCTGTGTGGAGAGGGGGCTTGCTGCATATCCACTGGCGTGCCGCTTCTCGTTGACACCACCGTCGACTGCGGTGCCGACCATTGCCCCCATCTTTGCTTCGGCCATGGTTCGATGGGACGACTTTTGGCAATGCCAAGAGATCTAAGATATTTTGAATCGTGCCGCCTTGCTTTGGCTTGAACTTGCTTTGAAGATGCGGGTGCCTTTATGCTTGCCGGTATTTGTCACAGCCGTCCCACAAATCCCTGCAAGGCTGAGCACCAGTGTTTTTTTGTTGCTGTCTCGGCAGCTGCGGGGCCGCACAATGCTCACCATCAGAGGTCACAAAGTCGGGGCGGTGGAATGACAAGTGCCGTTGACGATTTCAAACGTCCCACGTGCAAGTAGCTTGTATGGCACGCCATCTCTGTGGCAAAGAAGACGCCCCACGACCCCCCAAGAATGCGACAAGGGCGGGGCGAAGTGAGGACGCAGGAGGAGGAGGAGGAGGATGAGGAGGAGGAGGAGGAGGAGGAGGAGGAGAGGGGAGAGGAGGAGGAGGAGGAGGGGGAGGGGAGGGGGGGGGGGGGAGGGGGAGGGGG